ACATAAATTTGTGCGCATGCGCAGTGTCAAGTATGCCGCCTTCAAGTTTGGTGAATGCTGCCTTTATGTGCAGGCGTAAATCTCTTCTTCAAATAATTTATGGCACGAAAAGCCGAAATATCCTGAAATCCTTTATGCAAATACATGCAGTAAATTCGGGGGGGGCTGCTCAGAAAGCTTGGAGTCTGTGTTGGCATCTGACCAGCAAACTGAAAAAAGGGGGGGGGGGGGGGTGTTGACCTTCCTCAGCGCGCTGCAAGGACAGCGGATGAGCCCGGCGGCAGGAACAGCGCCGCCTGTCGGCCGCTTTCATCCTGACATCATCATCAGCCACTCAGGTTCACAACAGTTCACTTTTATTATTGTCATTATTTAAAAAAGTCTGTACAATTATTATTATTGCATTCAAATATTTCCATACACTGATGTCAACTTGATATATTTTGGGTCACCTGGCTTCAACCTGAACACTTTCTGAGGCCTATTTAAATAATAAGCATGCTTAAAGATCTCTATTTACATATGTGACATTTTTGCTTCTCTTTTCTTTTTAAGTGTTTATAAAAATATATTCTCTGTATGTACAATTCTTGCATATATGATACATTTAATGTCCCACAAATGTCCCAAAGTGAAAAATAAAATAAACAACAAATGGTTTGTAAACCAGTGAGTGACAGATAAAGATGAACCACGGCTCCGTCTGTGGTGGATAAACTCATGAGTTCTGATGAAGTGATGCTCACGTTTGTTGTGCACGTTGTTTATATTGAGCGCATACCCGCGTGTCAGAGCTGCGCACAGCTCTGTGCAGCTGGAGGACAGTCCCATGTGACCCTCAGGTCAGTCCGTGTGCTCGTGGCTCAATGTGTTGTTTGCATGTTCTTTCACACGTCGTTCTTAGGGCAGTGTGTCGGGGTGGGGGTGTAAACGGGGATGGCCACATCGCTGATCTCCTGCACCCTCACGGGCCTGGGCGGGGTGACCAGGACGTAGTCGTACTCCCTATGCAGCACCTTCTCGTACACGCTCTGCAGCCCCACCGTTTTGGGGATGTGGGCCTGGTAGAAGTTCTCCCTGCGGTGGGGGTCCCGGGGCAGTGAGGCCGTTTTGGGCAGTGTGCTGAAGGAAGACATGGTGGGGGCTGGGGAGGGGGTTGCATTGGCTCTGGTGGCTGAGGGACTCCAGCATCGGTCGGAGTGACCCAGGACTTTACACTCGCTGGTGCAGGCCCACAGAGCTGAAAGAAACACACGAGTTAACCTCCCCATCTCACTCCACCTTAATACAGATGTTGCTCTGCTCACCATTTTGACCCCCCATGGGAGGAACCGCAGCTCCATCCTTCTTCATGCCGGCATCCCCGCTGACGTCACTGTCGCTGTCATTGAAGTCGCTGTCCCCCTTACCGCTGTCCTTGCCGCTGAAGGCGGGGTCCCGGGCGGAGATGGTGGTGTAGGAGTTGCCCTTCCAGATGGTGATGGGCCGCACCGCTTCCTTCCCACTGCCATATCCAGGCAGGGTGGAGTAACCCTGCAGGGGGGAGACAAAACTCTTACCCATAAGCTGCTGCATTCTTACCCATCTGCTCACACAGGCTCATGTTCAGGCAGCTGTTTAATCCACTGTGTTAGATTAAATTATTAGATTAGATTATTGGATTAGATTATTATTGTATAAAGCCTTGTTTCTTTATTTTATTTTATATTTTATTATTGTTGGATGTCCCTGAGTAAGTTTCATTCCACCTCATGTACCACGTGACGTGAATGACAATAAAGAAAACCCAGTTAGAGTGTGACAACGCCCCCCTCCCTCACACACTCAGCCCCTCACCTCATGTTTGTTCCCTCCGAGCTTGTTGCTGCTGTCGGCCTCGTACACGCACGGCACCTCGCTGCCGTCCTCTGAGGCGGAGCACAGGTCGCTGCCCCCCGGGTGGGCCGGGGTGAAGCCCCCAGGCTGGCTGCTATAGGAGTGTGCGTCAAAGGGCTCCCCCCGCGCGGGCCCGTGGAGCGGCAGCAGCGGGTTGTCCCCCGCGCGGCCCCCCTCCAGCGCGCCCTTGTCCCCGCCGTACGAGTCGCTGTCCCCCCCGCTCTTGTCGCGCCCCCGCCGGCTGCAGGTGGTGGCGATGAGGATGATGGCGAGCAGCAGGAGCGTGCAGCTGCCCGCGAGCACCACGATGATCACCACGGACAGGTCCCACTGCGCATGCGCCCCATCCCCGCTCTCCGGCCGGTACACTGTCCTGTCGCTCGGAGGGGGGCCCGCGATGATGAGGAAGTGAAGGGTGGCCGTGGAGGTGAGCGCGGGCCGCCCCGTGTCACTCACCGTGACCGTGACACTCAGGGTCTCGTCCACGTCGTGGCTCAGCACCTGGTTCAGGTAGATGTCCCCCGTGACCCGGTTCACGGAGAACACCGAGGGCTCCCCGGTGGCCAGCCCGAACACCAGCTCCGAGTTCACGCCCTCGTCCGCGTCACGCGCCTCCACCCGGGTGACCACGTACCCCGTGGGGGCGTCCCGGGGCAGGAGGACCTCCGCGGAGCCGTTGTGCAGAGCGGGGTGGGTGATGACCGGCGCGTTGTCGTTCTGGTCCACGACACGCACGAACACGTTGGTGCTGCCGGTGAGGGGGGGCGCGCCGCCGTCGCTGGCCGTGACCCGGAGCTCCAGCTGCTTCATCACCTCGAAGTTGAAGCTCCTGAGCGCGTACACGGACCCGCTGGCCGGGTCCAGAGACACGAAGGTGGACACGGGGGAGCCCATGAGGTGCGTGTCCGCCAGTTTGTAGGAGACCTTCCCGTTGGAGCCCAGGTCCAGATCCCGCGCCACCACCGTGGTGATGTAGGCCCCGGGCGCGTTGTTCTCCACCACCGCCACCTCGTACACCGGCTTACTGAAGACCGGCGCGTTGTCGTTCTCATCCGTGAGCCTGATGGTGTACTGGGTGATGGTCCTGAACGGGGGCGAGCCCAGGTCCTCCGCCACCACCGTCAGGTTGTACTCGGGGATCTTCTCCCGGTCCAGAGGGCTGGTGCTGACGATCATGAAGCTGTCCTCGTAGGCCTGCTGCAGCCGGAAGTGGTCGTGTCCGTACAGGGTGCAGTGGACCTGCCCGTTGGCCCCCGAGTCCCGGTCCGAGGTACTGACCAGGGCCACGAAGCTCTCCCGGGCCGCGGCCTCCGTGATGTACGCGATCCCGGCCGTGATGGAGGTCATGGGGGTGATGGAGATCTCCGGCGCGTTGTCGTTCACGTCCTGCACCTGCACCACGATCTTACAGATGGCCGGGCTCGGGTTCGGACCCAGGTCGGTGGCCTGGACATCGAACTCGTACGTGTTCTTAGTCTCAAAGTCCACGGGGCTCTCCAGGGTGAGCCGCCCGCTCTTCCTGTCCACCCTGAACAGGTGTCTGATCTCGGGGGGCACCTGGTTCCCGAACCCGTAGACCACCTCGCCGTTCAGACCCTCGTCCGGGTCCTCGGCGTTCAGGTCCAGCAGGAGCGAGCCCGCCGGCGCGTCCTCGGGCAGGTCCACGGTCACGCTGCTCCGGTCGAACACGGGGCTGTTGTCGTTGTAGTCCTTCACCTTGACGTCGATGCGGGTCGTCCCGCTGCGGGACGGGTTCCCGCCGTCCATGGCCACGAGCTCCAGCGCGTACGAGCCCTGCGTCTCGCGGTCCAGCTCCTTCATGAGCACGAGCTCCGCGTATTTCACCCCGTCCGCCCTGCTGAGCACGTCGATGGAGAAGTGGCTGTTCACGGAGATCTGGTAACTCTGGATGTAGTTCACACCCACGTCCTCGTCCACGGCGAAGTCCAGCGGGATGCGCGTGCCCACCGCCGTGTTCTCCGAGATCTCTAGACTGGACTCCCGACGCGGGAACTCCGGGGAGTTGTCATTGATGTCCTTGACCTCCACCTCCACGTGCACGAGCTTGAAGTGCTCCTTGGAGAAGCTGACCACGTCGAAGGCGATGAGGCAGTGGGGGGAGCGCCGGCAGAGCCGCTCCCGGTCCATGCGCTCCCCCACGCTCAGCTGCCCGTCGCTCTCCCGCAGACGGATGAAGGACGAGTTGAACTGCTTCATCATCCTGAAACTGTTCCTGGAGAAGGACGCAGCGGGGGACATGTCCCTGGACAAGGTTCCGATCACCGTCCCCGGCGCGTCCTCCTCGAACGTCTCGTACTTCACCGTCCTGCCTGCAGCCGCCGCCAGGACGCACAGCAGCAGCGCGCTCCAACACATCCGCATGCTTCCAAATTCAACAAAACACAACAACTGTCCTCACCGAGTCCAAGTCGTAGTTTGAACCAGTCGCACCTGCAGGGAGGTGCTCTCTGCCCCCCCAGTCCACTCTCCGGGCTCTTCTTCAGCACAAACTCTCCATGTGTCTGCTGACGCGCGCCGCTCGCCCTGCCAGAGCTGGAAACAGGCTGCAGTGTCTGCAGGGGGGTTTATATGGGGAGTCATGCAAATGAGCCGCACTGTGTCCAATCCGTGCCTTGATGGGGTGTGTGTGTGTGTGTGTGTGGTGGTGGTGGTGGGGGGTGGGGGGGGTGGGGGGGGGGGGGGGGGGGGGGGGGTGGGGGGGTGGGGGGGGGGGTTAGTCCGGAGCGATTTAGCACTCAATCTGCGGTCTAAACACCGGACCTGATTTAATGCTGATAGTTTCCGTCGCTTGTCTGTGTTCTGGTGCTGTTAAACGAGTGTGCGCAGACACACCATTATATGTATGTGTGTGTGTGTGTGTGGGGGGGGGGGGGGGTGTTGCACAGAGATGCGCAGTGTCCCTGAGCTAGAGGACAAAGCGTTTCAGGCTGCCTCACCTCCTCTGGATACGTTTCAGAGCAGAGAGTTGTATTAAAGACTTTTTTCATTCCTTAGAGCCATGCCTGTGTCCCGCTGCTGTCCTGGGGACATGTCCACCCCGTCCAGGCCAGAGGTCACTGGAACTTTACGCATGCAGGACTCAGCTCAGGTCTCTTCTGCTCCAAACTCCAAACTTGATCCTCATTTCAGACAGACAGGGTTTCCCTGTGATCCTGATTCTGTTTCAGTCTCTTTTAGCTGTTCTTTCATCCAGACCTTCAGCTCATTCAAGGGATGGGTGTTCTGACCTTTGTTTTACTATCTTTTATGCTTTTATGAATATGTCACTTTGACTAGAAATATTTTCACAAAAAAATACAGTGAGCTATTTTCACTTCATGTGTATTTTTATCTTTATGCTATGGTTAGCTTTTAGCTAATGTTCTGCTACTTTTGGCCTTTAGCTTACATTTTGCTACATTTAGCTTGTTGCCAACATTTACCTATCTGCTGTGGATGAGTGGTTAGAGCAGTCCTCCTCCAATGCGAGCGTAGGGGGTTCGAATCCACCAGCAGTCACATGTCGAAGTGTCCATGGGCAAGACACTGAACCCCTCATAGCCTCTGATGTGTGTCCCATCAGTGCATGAATGTGATGTAAAGCTCTGATTAGTCTCATTAGAATGATTTGTTCAATTAATTTTGTAGAGATGTAGTAGAGTGCTGTATGAATGGGTAAATGAGGACACAGATTGTAGTGTAAAGAGCTTTGAGTATCTTAAAATAAGATAGAAAGGTGCTATATAAGAACAGTCCATTTACCATTTTGTTTCAGCTGTGACTGAGTGGTTAGAGCAGGCGTCCTCCAATGCAAGTGTTGGGGGCTCGATTCCACCAACAGTCACATTATGAAGTGTTCCTGAGCAAGACACTGAACCCCTGATTACCTCCGATGTGTGTCCCATCGTTGTATGAATGTGATAAAGCTCTGATTATTCTCTACAGATTTAGATTATCTTTGTAGAGATGTAGTAGAGTGCTGTTTGAATGTGTGTGTAGTAGAGTGATGTAGGAATGTGTGTGTAGTAGAGTGCTGTATGAATGTGTGTGTAGTAGAGAGCTGTATGAATAGGTGTAGTAGAGTGCTGTATGAATGTGTGTGTAGTAGAGTGCTGTATGAATAGGTGTAGTAGAGTGCTGTATGAATGTGTGTATAGTAGAGTGCTGTATGAATGTGTGTGTGAAGTAAAGTGCTGTATAATTTTGTGTATGGTAGATTACTGTATGAATGTGTTTGTGGTAGAATGCTGTATGAATTTGTGTGTAGTAGAGTGCTGTATGAAAGTGTGTAGTACATTGCTGTATGAATGTCTGTAGTAGAGTGCTGTATGAATGTGTGTAGTAGAGTGCTGTATGAATGTGTGTGTAGTACATTAATGTATGAATGTGTGTAGTACATTGCTGTATGAATGTGTGTAGTAGAGTGCTGTATGAATGTGTGTGTAGTAGAGTTCTGTATGAATAGGTGTAGTAGAGTGCTGTATGAATGTGTGTGTAGTAGAGTGTTGTATGAATGTG